GAATTGAATTAGGTCTTAGTTGATGTAGTAACACCTGTATTTTGAATTGAATTAGGTCTTAGTTGATGTAGTAACACCTGTATTTTGAATTGAATTAGGTCTTAGTTGATGTAGTAACACCTGTATTTTGAATTGAATTAGGTCTTAGTTGATGTAGTAACACCTGTATTTTGAATTGAATTAGGTCTTAGTTGATGTAGTAACACCTGTATTTTGAATTGAATTAGGTCTTAGTTGATGTAGTAACACCTGTATTTTGAATTGAATTAGGTCTTAGTTGATAAATAATTAATACTTTTACTTTTTCTTCTACTAACGTTGTTCTCATTACATAACATTTTAAAATTTCTAATATTGATTCGTTGTCTTGTGTTTGTAAATGTGTGATCCTAGTATTTGTTTCGCCTCGATCGTATTTATACTATATATACTTCATTCGTTGAAGTTGTCAGAATCAATCTTAGTTATTTTATTAAAAACACTAGCATATATATATATATATGGGCCCGGCATGGCCAGGTGGTTAGAACGCTCGACTCGCAATCTGCGGGTCGCGGGTTCGAATCCCCGTCCCACCAAACGTGCTCGCCCTTTCAGCCGTAAAGGCGTTATAATGTCAATCCCACTATTCGTTGGTAAAAGATTAGCCCAAGAGTTGACGTTGGGTGGTGATGACTAGCTGCCTTCCCTCTAGTCTTACACTGCTAAATTAGGGACGGCTAGCGCAGATAGCCCTCGTGTAGAAACAGAAACTCGATAAATAAAACTTCTCAATCATCAATACTTTTCGGGGTAAAAAGGAACGAAAAGAAGATAAATCTAAGAGAGGAAGGGACGAAATAAATGAATGTATAGGTTTTAGCTAAACTTAGAGATGTGACAGTTATCTACTTTACCTGATCTACCCTTTCGTCCCTGCCAAGTGTTCGCTCTAACCCTTCTTCTTTAGCTAGATCACGTTCTCGCAGTTCGTCTTGAAAAGTAACTTAAAACGTAGGAACATTATTACTGTGGGTGGTATCCCTTAGTTTCTTTTAAAAGGGAAACTGTCTACCGAATACATTACCTGTTTTACTAACGTCTGCACGGTTCAACACTAACGTTCGTACTTTGTGAACGACCTGACATAACCTAGTGGTTAAAGTGGGTTTGAATCCTCGTCACTAAACATACTCGGTTTTTCAAGCCACGATGGCGTTATAATGTGACGGCCGATTCCACTATTCGTTGGTAAAAAGGGTACTCCAAGACAGGTTCTCCCCACGATTTCTACTTCTATTTTAGAGCAGTCTAAGTGCTCTATCACGACTGTCTTCCTCGATTTTTCTGTTTTACCAGCATTTTAACAAAATTAAAAATTGTGCTAGGCGTAACTTTGTCATTAGCGTGCCCGAATTGTGAATCTCGTATCTCTGAAACGCGCTCTGCATTTCGAGAACACAGGTACACTATAATAAGACTCGTCAAATCCCATTGTTCGACCAGACAAGGGTAGCCAGCCTAACAGTCGACTATCGTACTGTTAACTAGCTTCCTTCACTATCTAGTTTTATGTCATTCTACATAATTTATAGAAATATGAATATAACTTAGATCTTATATTTAACAATAAAATACACTACAAAAGCTACCGGAAGCCATAACAGGGGTATTTAGTATTATAGTACTTTTTACCTGGTTTGAGTAGACTTTCTTAACTATCTCAGCAGGAGGCGCTGAAGAGTCGAGTTATCATTTAGGTTCCTCCATACGTCTTTTATATTTAATATAACCCTAAAATTGACCTTAAAACTTTTTTTAACTAACAATATAGATGTAAATACACTATCGTGAACAGAATATCTCATTTTTAAAATAACATCAAATTCTAAACACGCGATATCCATGGATTAGGTTTACGTGACTTTGTTATATAATTAAGCCTTAAGAGTTTCACAGATTGACTTAAACCTAGGCGATAAATTAATCTTTATTTAATGAACATGTAATTCTGTGTTTAAAGTAGCAGCTAAACCTAATTCTAGTTGCTCAACAAAATAATATATTCACAGCAAGTAGGTTAATTTTTACAGCCTTGTATATGGGACTCAAATTTTAAAGAATGAAATAACTCGTTTAACTTGCATTGAGTGCGTCGTCTGCAGTCCACGAGGAACTGTATGTATATATATATATATATATATATATTAAAAACTAATAACTAGAAAAACCTTGGGGTTAATACTGGGTCTTATATTTATAAATTACTAAAATTAAAATTTTAGAAACAAAAGCGTCGGATTAAAAATTGATTGTTTTTGTGAAGGTTCACCATGCCGTTACTATGGCTCCTCCTCGGATTATCATCTCAGACGGCGGGAAAGTGGACGAGAATAAAGAAAGAGGAAACTGGTCCAGCGGAATCGAATTTCTTCTCTCCTGTCTCAGCTATGCTGTTGGCCTGGGGAACATCTGGAGGTTTCCTTATTTGTGTTACAGAAACGGGGGAGGTAGGTTACGCTAAAAATGGAAATAGTTCGCCCCCAAAACACTATTACTGGACTTGAAATGTTTTGTAGGGTAAGCGAATGTTTTAAAACACTGCCTGTAGATTTAACCATTGTAATGTTAACGTTATAATTTTACACAAACACATAAACAAATAATTAACTACGATATTTCTGCTAAATGTTCCTCAAACTGTAAAGTTTTGAAAAACGTTTGTTCTATTTGTTGTTAAGCACATCGCTACCCAATGTGCTGCCTGTTATCGTTATAAGCCTTCAGTCTTACTGCTGAACCACTTGGGGGGGGGGGGGGGCTTGGAAAAGAAACGATACATTTACAAAGATGTTTCAAATGTTTTCGTTGCGAAAAATATTTCATCATTTTTAGGATATCCGTAAAATAAGCTTTAATATGAGCTTTTCATACCTACAGGCATGACGTAGCATAGTGGTTAGAGCGCTCGACTCTCAACTTGAGGGTCAGTCCCACTTTTCGTTGGTAAAGAGTAGCCCTAGAGTTTGCGGTGGATGGTGTTGACTAGTTGCAATCTAATCTATCACTTCAAAATTCGAGAAGGCTAGCGATGATAGCGAAATTCGAAGCAAATGAAATTTAATCTCTATATACTGTTATTATAGTCTGGGAACATTGTAGTGCAGAGTCTAAACTGGCCTCGCTCACACGAGGAAGATAGCACGTTTTGTCTGCCCTAGAAACGTAAATATAACACAGATCGTCTGCTGTGAGTAGTCTGTGGTCGAGGTTACTATTCTCAGTTATGGTCATTTGTCGATGACAAAAAGATACTTGTTACTATGTATAACTTTATGGATTTTGATAAGTAGCAGACACTGTGGGAGCAGTAATACTATTAATAGATAATTACAAGTTCTTTACTTAAACATGAAAAAATTAAAATATAAAAACAGAAGTTTAATTAAACGTGTGCCCACCAGTGGCACAGTGGTATGTCTTCGGACTTACAACACTAGAAACCTGGTTTCGATACCCGTGGTGGGCAGAGCACAGGTAGCCCATTGTGTAGCTTTGTGCTTAACTTCAAACAAACAATTAAACGTGTACCTTAAAGAAAGGATAATATTAAGGTTAGTGCATTATGTAAACTTGGCTAGAAAAAACGCCCATAGCTAGCTTAACTAAATGTACTTTGATTTTTTTAATTCGGTGTTTTTTTTACGATTTTGTATTTATTGAATAGAATCACATTTTTATTGCCCACGTATTATTATCATTATTATTAAGCCTATATTTGATTCAATTTAATGGAACTAAAACACTCAAATTGGCCATATCATCTGTGAAGTAGTAAAACGACAACCAAATTATTTGATTTCCTGATATGGTTTAACTACTTGTCTTTTCTTTTAATCAAATGTACGCCTCACTTTGATATGAAATTGTTAATAAAAGCTACACATCTCATAGAGATAGTAATTATTTATATTAATATAAATATTTCTGATTTATTACTATATACATTAAGTGTCTGAAAATCTTAAGTAATCATTTAAAATGATAATGGTCTTTTGATTTAAAGGCCTGTTTTTTAGGACTGACTGTTATTTAAAAAAAATGTATATTAAAAATTAAAAACCATAATTTACAATACCAGTAAAGTTATCGATTGGATCAGCACATTGAACCTGGGTTAGAACTAAAATATGGTCGACTATATTTCATTATCTCTCGGAAGAAGTCTTGTGTTAATGCTAGTCTATCCCAAATATACTCCACACCTCAAAAAGTAAATAACTTTCATTTGTAAACTAAAAAAATGACAATCTAATAGTGTTACAACAAGCAGGTGTAGAGCAAAGACAGATAAACATTTAATTTTAAGACTTTTTTTGTTTATGTAATCCAAGGATTAATCTAATATTTTTCTTTATAGGTGCCTTTCTTATCCCATATACCATCATGTTGATATTTGTGGGACTACCACTGTTCTTTCTCGAGTTGGCCTTTGGGCAGTTTGCAAGTGAAGGACCAATCACGATATGGAAGATAGCTCCACTTTTTCAAGGTATTATTTATTCCAAAGCTCCTTAACCTCATTGTATTTTTTCTCTAGACTGTTACTTACTGGTAAAAATTTTACATTTTATTAAAGTGCCATCCTTCTCTTGCTGTAATATCTCTTGATATAATTAAATTAAAATAAATTGTTAATTCTAAAATCTTACCAGGATCTCTGCTCAAGTTGTTAATTTGTGTGTGCCACTTCTGGCTCTTACCAGACATTTGAAGGTCGACTATAATAGTAAAAGTCCAAATGTAACATAATAAATGTGTTTGATTGGTCATTTTGTTATAGTCTCAGAATCATTTTCAACATCTAGTAATAAATCGTGCTCTGTATTGAAAATCGAAATAATATCGGATCTTTTGTTATCTATATTTTGAAAATTTTATATTTTCTAATGGCTAGATTGAGCTATATAATCATAACTGTTTTTTTTAGGTTTGGGTTATGCCATGGTGTTGATGTCGTTCCTTGTTGGTATCTACTACAACATGATTCTGGCTTGGTCCTTATTCTATCTCTTCTCTTCCTTCACTAGCCAACTTCCCTGGAGCTCCTGTGAAAACTGGTGGAACACTAATGGTAAGAGTTTGTGTTACGTGGACTTCGGTGTATAGTGTAACACTTATGGAATAGTAACACACTGCATCGGAAACACTACAAAACTTCTGTTTGATGCATAAGAGATTTTCACGCTTCTCAATATATGAGGTGCCTGGTTATGTGTGTTGTTGACTTGAGGTTGCTAGGTTATTTAGGTTTTTAGAACTAGGTTTCCAAGTTAATTATCCAAATACATGTTTCTATATTGATAATGCTTGGAGATGGCTTGAATGGGTAATGAAGAAATTTTTTAATATAAGTTTAACGTAGCAAATGTACAACGTTTTGACAAAAACTTCTCAAAACGTTGTACATTTGCTATTATGTTAAACTTGTATTAAAGTTTTCTTCATTACCCATTCAAGCCATCTCCAAGCAATATTAGTCTCAAAGTGGGTTCCTCATCATCGAATGTTTCTATATTGGTGTAAGTGTTAATTATGAAAATAAACTAATATTAGTTATAAATAGTAATACACATTTAAAGCACCAAATTTGTATTCTGTTAGTACTAAGTTAAATTTGAAGAGAGTAATTTTTTCTGATTTTGACTTAACTAATTGCATTTTCTCTCCTATTTTTTTTTCTGTTTAAAGAATTTTTAAACTATGATATTTCTCTTCCAGCATGTCGAAAGTTTGACACCAAGAATTGCACTGCCCATAACGGAACAGTCCTGGCCAATGGTACTTGTATTCTGAGGCAGATGGTCAGTAATGAAGAGTGGTCAGTTTTGTCCAACTCAACAGATAACACTAAAATGGCTAGCGATGAATACTTTCAGTGAGTGTGTTATAAATCTTTGTAACAGTTGGAATTACACAGTTTTTTACTGTTACTTCCTATATATGTAGTATATTATTACAAATTAAAATGTTTTATTTCATCCTTTTCTTAAGATTGATTGAATTGAATGCTTCAAAGTTATTGGATAAAAAAAGAAGTAATAAAGGCCTTTTAGTGCAGCAGTACGCTTTTATCAGTTATGTTATTCAAGCATCTCGGTGTAAGCTTAGTTGAAATATATAAAGTGTGATTGCTATGTATTGTTAGTCTGTTTAAATATCTCATGTGAGATAGATATTGTTAATCTGTTTATTTCGTATATGTTTTAATTACCTTCAGTAACTTTGTTCTGGATTTGACCGAGGGCCTCCATGATCTTGGTAATATTAAGTGGCAACTGGCTTTATGTCTCCTGGCGTGTTGGATTCTTCTTTTTTTCTGCTTGGTCCGAGGTGTCAAGAGTATAGGAAAGGTAATTATCACCAAATTATGAAAATGTTTTAGTCACGTCTTATTCAACGATCAAAGTTCACGTTCAGTTCTTCTCTATTTTTACATGTCATGTGCTCATCTTCCTGTTAAGAGCTGGTTCCCCTAATAGTAGAATAAAAGAACATTATAATGGCTAAACTTGCAGCACCAGAAGTATTACCGACCACTGTCTAAACAAATGTAATTTTGTAACTATCTCCAGATTGTTCTGCATTATTGTCCATTCCCGAGAAGAATTCTACTTTAGAATGCTACAATGTTAAAAAAAAACAACTTTTAACTAAGATGAGTATACTAACACTACATCTTAAATTGTGAAAATCTAAAGAAAAGACACAACATGAACAGTGATCGTCATGCTATGAAAAACAATTTATTTTCAGCATTTCTTTAGAATTACTTGTATTTCTATCAAGTTTAATTTACAAGAATTTTACTTTCCATGTTTTACACATGTTTGAAGTGAGTTGTGTGTAAGGAAAGATAAATCAAGTCAGTTACTTGAAAGCAGCTAAATATTATCTTTCTTCAGAAATTCAAAAAATTCCCTACGTTAAGTTAGTTTTTTAACATTTGCAGATAATTGAGATATACCAAAGTTAATTTTAGGTCTCTGTGTATGTGATTATTCAATAAGTGTTATAGTGAATTTATAATGTAGGCATAATTAAGTTTGTGTTTTGTTTCATAATAACAGTTTAATTCTATTTCTGTGAACAGAAGAGTTAGCAAAAGATACATAGGATATTTTACACACCATTAATTTTAAATTACGCAAATACATGGGATATTTTACACACCCTTAATTTTAAATTATGCAAATACATGGGATATTGTACACACCATTAATTTTAAATTATGCAAATACATGGGATATTTTACACACCCTTGATTTTAAATTACGTAATAGACATATTGAAAGGAATCTGAAAAAAAAAATTTATAATCACGATCTTAATTATATTTAGGCCTAATGACAAGTTGTTTCTCAGACACAGTATCTGTTTTGTTAAGGCCTAATGCAAGTTGTTTTAGGCTTAATGGTACTTGTTTCTGTCTATTGTCAGGTTGTGTACTTCACAGCGTTATTTCCTTATGTGGTGTTGGTTATCTTGCTGATCCGAGGAGCTACGTTAGATGGGGCTTATGATGGGGTTATGTTTTATCTTACCCCAGAATGGCACCGTTTGAAAGAAGCCAAGGTGAGATCACAGTACTTGTTTAAACCTGGCTGTGTATGTATTAGTGTTTGTTTTACAAACTTGCGAGTAACATGGCTATTATCACTTGTTTCTGTAAAACAAAATATAGAAAGTAAGTACTACATACTTTAATATGAGTGGGGGGGGGAATGAGCAGCTTTTAATAAATTTCTGTAAATAACCTGTTTCTTAATATAGAAATAAAAGGTAAAAACTTGTTAATGTTAATTATAAAAAAAAGTCAACAACTATGCTAATGTTATTTAGCATGTTACCATTAATTTAATGAAATGAAAACAAACAGTATTTCTTATGTTTCAACTTTTCATTTTTTGTGTGAAATTATTTTAAGACGATCTTTAAATGTTTAAAACAGATAATTTTTTAAGGTTTCTTCTGAAGGCATGTTCGAATGTGCCATGTATGCATAAAGTATCTAATACATTCTACAGTGTCTCATGCTAATCAACATTAGACTGAAATATAATGATATTTCTGTAAACAATTTTCATGCAAAGAAACCAATAAAAGAAGTTGCCGTAAACAAAACCATTAATACATTTATACTTGTTTTTAAACTTGCATGAAGACATTATTATTATAGCTTGTTGGCAACGGACGTCTGACGTTATACTGTTCGTAGGTTGTTATTTTCTTGGTCTCTCAAGTCAAAAATGTTAATCTTATTTCAGGTTTGGGCTGATGCAGCCATGCAGATTTTTTTCTCATTATCACCTTGTTGGGGCGGATTAATCACCCTAGCCAGTTACAACCGTTTCCATAACAACTGTTTCAGGTAGTTAGAAGATGGTACATTTCTTTTATTCTGATGCTGGTTTGAAGTTTTGGTGCATATCAGAAATGTTTTTATTTTACCAAGACATTACTTACAGTCATTGTTTGACGTCCTTAGTTTCTGTAATGGTTCTTCTTTACCTGTACTGCCTCTTACAGTGAAAAAAACAGAACTTTCCCGACTTATTTCTCTCCAGTGTAATGTAAAGGACACATAATTGTTTGGTTTTTGGTTTTTTTTAAGAATTTCGACAATCTAGTAATTGTTTAAATTAGCCTTAACTAGAACGACGGAGAAAAGTGCGTTTAAAGTTAGTAACTCACGCTAGAACATTTCAGCAAGATAATCTTGTACCTCAAACCATCTTTTGTGGCCGAAACTGATTTTCAATTCAACTTTGATATGAAAAAGGTTCAGAATCTTGTTTAATTTGTTTTTGTAAAGTGTTCATTAAAATAGGACAATATAATGGTGATTTGTAGCAATTCACTGGACCAGGGGATAACTTTTTATTTATATCTGAAGAAACATAGAATGGAGGATGAAAATATTATTGTTTAATTTTGTATTTCTTCAAGAATATTTTGATTCATATAGTATAACTTTAAGTTAGCAGTTGTAACAGCAGCTTAGAGGCTGAATGGTTACAGACTCGAACTGTTAAGGTCTTCTTGACCTGTAACTTTGAATGTATTACTTGTTACTTACTAATACTTCCCTTTTATGACTGAATATATGTATAATGTTGATGACATATGTCATGAACAGGGGATTGTAAATTTGTACCGGAGATCTGCTAGTTAAGATCATTACCAGTACAAATGAAGGCTGAACATTGAATCCACAGGTGACTGAATAACTTAAGATCTTTTTCCATGCCTCCTCAAATGTTCAGCACCTGAAACTGATGTAATAGTCACTGATAAGCCTAGAAGAACACAAGAAATTGAAATGAAGCATCCCTTATAATCAAAATATCTTCCTGATCCCTGTACCTTATATAGGTGACAGGTTCTGTTAGATACATGAAACTAACATATCTTCATTATGTGTTAGTTATGTTGTGTGATAATACAGATAGTAAACTTTTAAGTTTTAATATATATATATATATTGGAAGTATATATAAAATTTCTGACATTCATTTTTGATACAATCAATTCCATGTCTAAATTAGTTGGCTTTTAAAATTTACTGTTGAACATTAATATAAGTTTCACCTGTAAAACTGTTTTTATTTTAGTTATGTTTTAGTCAACTGCCCTTTATCAAACCTAACTCCAAACTTCTTCTTATCATTAATTCAGTTACTCTGTTTGTTTCTTCATTCCAAGAGGGTTAACATTTTTATTTGATTGTAGGGACTCTCTAGTAATCACATTTGGCAATTGTGCAACAAGCTTCTTTGCGGGGTTTGTCATCTTTAGTATTGTGGGGTTCATGGCTCATGAACTGGGGGTTCCTGTGTCCGAGGTTGCAGCCCAAGGTAACATATCTTTATTCTGTCTCAAGTTTTGAACAAAACTTGTGTTATGGGCATTAAAATAGATCATTTCATAGCATCAATATTAAAATAGATCATTTTCGTAGCATCAATATTAAAATAGAT